GGTCCAGAGGTGAGAGGGGAAGGCAGAGATAGTTAGGAGCTGTTGAATGTTCATGGGGAATCAGGGGCAGAGGGGAGGAGGGTGCTGTTGCAGAATGGGGTGAGTGGTTGGGGTCTCATAACAATGTATGTTAAAAAAAAAAAATTCTGTATGGGAGACTAACTTGAAATGTAAACCTCATTTAATTACAACAATAAAAAAAAATATATCATTTACTAGTGATTTCTTGGCAAAAAAAAATCTTGAAGGAAAAAATGGTTTACATAGAACACACATACACAATTTTAAGGCTGCTGGCAAAGATAAGTTCTGATATAAAGCATTTCTTTATCTTCTTCCTACCACTGGACTAGGTGAATATACCCCAGAAAATAACTCACGGAAAAGAGCAGTGTTCAGGGTAGGTCCTTTGAGGGACAGAGTTACCCGGTGACACAGGTGGTAGCAGTGGTAATACTACAAACAAGGAGTCATCTAGCGCAAATTTTACCACTGCTGAGATGAGCTTGCCTACCCCACTCCTTAAATTCTCCAGAAGGAGTACAAGTTAGGGCCAGGTTATTGCTATTACTCCTTCCCCTCAAGACATATTCCCAGACAAAGCAGTGACTAATTCTAAGGGAAAAATAATAGACATCTAGAGGTACACAAAAACCATAAAAGAGAGACAACAAACTAAATAGTTTTAGTAAGAGAAGCAGAATTCATGGACAAGACAAAACAAGAATTTAAAATGAATTATACTAAATCCTTAAAAATAAAGAAAGGGGAGAACACTTAAATATAAAGCAGGAAAAAAGTATCATAAGGAAAACTCAACTGGAAATCCCTGGTTAAAAAAAAAAAAAATTAATAGCTGAAATAACAAATGCAACCGATGGGTTCGGTTTGTTCTTGCTGTTAGCTACTGCTGAGTCAGCCCCCGAATCATTGTGACCCCATGTGTTACAGAGTAGAACACTCCATAGGGTTTTCTTGGCTATAATCTTTACAGAAGCAGACCACCAGGTCTTTCTTCCATGGTGCTAGTTGGGTTTGAAAAGCCAACCTTTTGGTTAGTAGCCAGTCTCAAACTGCTTGTGCCATCCTGGCTCCTGATGGGCTGGATCTGAGAATTGATTAACAGTTGAAGAACAAATCAGTGAGCTTGATGATCAGGTTGAAAAATTCTCAAATACAGATTTTTGGGGGGAAGGAGGATGAAGAGAGAAAAACATTATAAAGAAAACGGAACAGATAAGGAGGATTGAAGTTGTTGTAATATTGTTGTCAGGTGCCATCAAGTTGGTTCCGACTCATAGCGACCCTATGTACAACAGAACGAAAACACTGCCCGGTCCTGCGCCATCATTACAATCGTTAACGCTTGAGCCCATTGTTGCGGCCACTGTGACAATCCATCTCATTGAGGGTCTTCCTCTTTTTCACGGACCCTCTACTTTACCAAGCATGACGTCCTTCTCCAGGGCTTGGTCCCTCCTGATAACATGTCCAAAATACGTGAGATGAAGTTTCACCATTCTCACTTCAAAGGAGCATTCTGGCTGTACTTCTTCCAAGACAGATTTGTTCATTCTTCTGGCAGTCCATGGTATATTCAATATTCTTCGTGAGCACCATAATTCAAAGGCATCAATTCTTCAGTCTTCTTTCTTCATGTATATGAGGCAACTGAGATTACCATGGCTTGGGTCTCCCCCCAACAAGAAAAAAAATACCAAACCTGTTGCTGTCAGGTCGACTCTGACTCATAGTGACCTTATAGGACAAAGTAGAAGTGCCCCATAGAGTTTCCAAGGAGTGCCTGGTGGATTCGAACTGCCAACCTTTTGGTTAGCAGCTGTAGCTCTTAACCACTATGACACCAGGGCTTGGGTCAGGTGCACCTTAATCCTCAAGTAACAGCTTTGCTTTTTAACACTTTAAAGGGGTCTTTTGCAGCAGATTTGCCCAGTGCAATACATCATTTGATTTCTTGACAGCTGCTTCCATGCGCCCTGATTGTGAATCCAAGTAAAATGAAACCCTTGACAATGTCAGCATTTTCCGTCCATCATGATGTTGCTTATTGGTCCACTTGTGAGGATTTTTTTTTTCTTTATGTTGAGGTGTAATCCGTACTGAAGGCTATAGTCTTTGATCTTCATCAGTAAGTGCTTCAAGTCCATTTTGCTTTCAGCAAGCAAAGCTGTGTCATCTGCATATTGCAGGTTGTTAATGAGTCTTCCTCCAATCCTGATGCCACGTTCTTCTTCATATAGTCTAACTTCTCAGATTATTTGCTCAGCATACAGAATGAATCAGTATGGTGAAAGGATATAACCCTGATACAAAACCTTCCTGATTTTAGACCATGCAGCATCCCCCTGCTCTGTCTGAATGCTACTTCTTGGTCTATGTACCGGTGCCGCATGAGCACGATTAAGTGTTCTTGAATCCCCATTCTTCGCAATGTTACTCATAATTTGTTATGATCCACACAGTCGAATGCCCTTGTATAGTCAATAAAGCACCAGTAAACATCTTTCTGGTATTCTCTGTTTTCAGCCAAGATCCATCTCACATCAGCAATGAAATCCCTTGTTTCATGTCCTCTTCTGAATCCACCTTGAATTTCTGGCAGTTCCTTGTCGATGTACTGCTGCAACTTCTTTGAATTATCTCCAGCAAAATTATACTTGTGTGTGATATATCGTCAGTTACTGGGGCCTTGTTTTCACGCTGGTGAGGCAATGGTTAGAAGAGCTATAGTGAGCTACAGCTGCTAACCAAAAGGTCAGCAGTTTGAAACCACCAGCCACTCTCTGGAAACTCTACAGGGCAATTCTACTCATAGAGTCACTATGAGTTGGAACTGACTCCACGGCAACAGGTTGTTTTTTTTTACCAATGCCTTCAGGGCAGCTTGTACTTCTTCCTTCAGCACCATCAGTTCTTGATCATATGCTACCTCCTGAAATGGATGAACATCAACCAATTCTTTTTGGTTCAGTGACTCTGTGAAATCTTCTGTTCAGCCCTTTTCTTCATCCTTTCTTCCATTTGCTTTAGCCACTCTACGTTCAAGAGCAAGTTTCAGATTATATTCTGATAGCCATTTTGGTCTTTTCTTTTTTTCCTGTCTTTTTAATGACCTTCTGCTTTCTCCATGAATGATGATGTCCTTTATGTCATCCCACAACCTGTCTGGTTTTCAGTCATTAGTGTTCAATATGTCCCATCTGTTTTGAGATGGTCTCTAAATTCAGGTGGGATATACTCAAGGTTGTACTGTTATTCTCATGGACTTGTTCTAATTTTCTTCAGCTTCATCTTGAACTTGTATATGAGCAACTGATGGTCTTTTCGCAGTTGGCCCCTGGCCTTGTTCTGACTGATGATACTGTGCTTCTCTATCGTCGCTTTCCAGATGTAGTTGATTTGATTCCTACGTATTCCATCTGGCGAGGTCCATGTGTACTGTCACCATTAGTTGTCGAAGAAAGGCATTTGCAATGAGTTAGTCACTGGTTTTGCAAAATTCTATCATGCGATCTACAGTGTCATTTCTTTCACCAAGGCTGTATTTTCCAACTACCAGTCCTTGTTTCTAACTTTTGCATTCCAATCAATAAATCTTGATTGCATATTTGATCAATTTTAGACTACAGAAGCTGGTAAAAATCTTCAATTTCTTCATCTTTGGCATTAGTGTTTGCTGTGTAAATTTGAATAATAGTCGTATTAACTGGTCTTTCTTGTAGGCATATGGATATTAACCTATCACTGATAGTGTTGTACTTCAGGATAGATCTTGAAATGTTCTCTTTGTCGATGAATGCGATGCCATTCGTCTTCCATTTGTCACTCCCAGCAGAGTAGACCATGTGATTGTCTGATTCAAAATGGCCAACACCAGTCCATTTCATCTCACTATAGCCTAGGATATTGATCTTTCTGTGTTTCATTTTTGACGACTTCCAATTTTCCTAGATTCATACTTCGTATTTCCATGTTCTGATTATTAATGGATGTTTGCTGCTATTTCTTTCCATTTTGAGTCGTGCCACATCAGCAAGGTTGACTCTACTTTGATGAGGCAGCTCTTTCCCAGTTGTATTTTGAGCACCTTCCAACCTGAGGGCTTCATTTTCTGGCATTGTATCAGACAGTATTCCGCTGCTATTCATAAGGTTTTAACTGGCCAATTTTTTTAAGAAGTAGGCTTCCAGGTCCTTCTTCCTAGTCTGTCTTAGTCTAGAAGCTCTGCTGAAACCTGTCCACCATAGGTGACCCTGCTGGTATTTGAAATACTGGTGGCACAGCTTCCAGCATTATAGCAACCCCCAGCCACCATAGTACGGTAAACTGACAGATGAGTGGTAGAGGATAGAAGTAGAAATATTAATATCTACCTATAGGAGTCCCAAAAAGAAAATAAAGGGAGGGAAAAAAGCAAACAAACAAATATAATGCTATCTACTAATTTCTCAGAAATCAAGATTAAAAAATTTAGACTGAA